AATTGTTGCTAGGTGTGAGTGAGAGAGTGAATGGTGTCTCATCTGTCTCCATGTGGCCCTGACTGTGATGGACCTGTGACCTGTCCAGGGTGTACTTCACACAGTGACCCTGAAATGAAGAAGCGGCTGAAGAAAATGGATGAGTCGATGCTGCAAATAATCTGTCTTAAAAGGTAAAAGATGAAAACACTTGTTCTGCAGTGTTTCCCTTAATGTTATCCGGTGATTATAAGCAGAGTGCTAATGCCTGAAAGTCTTACAGTGTTTTGTACAGATAAATAGTTTAATATTACCAGGTTCTTAGTTGTATTTCAATTTTAGCTGGGCGTTTAAAAGAAAGTCTCCTAGTGCGAATCCCGGGTGAACAGATAATTATGAACCACTGTGGTTGTTGTCAGCGGTATGTACAGTAGGTGGCAGTGTGTCCCTCTAAGCTGTTTCCGGTTACAGAAGTGAAGAAGAAAATTAGAGCTTCCGACTTAACTGCTTTCTTAGTTTCGTTTTGTTTTCTGAGGGCGTTGTTTATTTCTTAACTTACTTCGGTGTGATTCACTCATAGGACTTATATTTATTAGGTTTTCGTACGGATAACATGTAGTAGAGTTTCCTCCAGCTAATATAAGTGACTAAATTGGTTTTCGGTCCGAATTTTATTTTTTATTGTTATTCCGGAAATGTTAGCCTCTGTTAGCTTGTTTTTTCTTGTGCTTTGTAACTTAGCACACGATCTCTCCGGTAAGTTCAAGTGTTTTCTGTTGTTTTTAGAGGTTCGTTCAAGGTCTTATAGTTTCATCTAATGTTTTAAATTTAACCTGATATTAAAACATTTTGAAAAGCTTTTGTTTCATAGCTAGCCCAGGTATCTTGTCTGCGTAATTAATTTCGCGTCTAATGACGAGACCATAGACTTAAATAGAACATAGACTGAGCCCCGCACATCCCGTCCACTGGTGTGGTCTGTGACCGCATGGAGGAGCAGAACAAACCGGGCAACAGCTCACCATAGCAGGGGTGGGCAGTCCTGGTCCTGGAGGGCTGCAGCCCTGCATGTTTTACTGTTTTCTCTGCTCAAACACACCTCATTTGAGTGAATGGGTGATTATCAGGCTTCTGCAGTACGGAGGACCGAAACTGACATAATTAAAAATAAAAGCGGATATATATACACACACACTTAAAATGCACCAATATAATTCAAAAAGGAGAATTTTGTGTGTGTGTGTGTGTGTGTGTGTGTGTGTGTGTGTGTGTGTGTGTGTGTGTGTGTGT